ATCTTATTTCTCGGCGAACAGTTTTAAAAATTAAAATAACTACAAAATACATAATATATGGGTTACATCGTCTCCAAGTTTATAAACAATAACGGATTTCTAGTGAAAACATTAGCGTCTCACACAATACACGGTATATATAAAGAAAAAATAGTTTCTATGAAAAGCTGATCTATTCTATTCGCTATTACAATATTATTATAACCACTAACATTTGGTTTTATACGATCGTCTTTTGCTATCACAAATGTATAGGACGTTAATAAAATACAGTTAAAAACGGCTTTGTTTTTATTTTATTTTAAAGAACCCTACAGGGTAAATTGATTTAATAAAAATGCGCAACCTTGGTAACATATGCCGCCACACAGGATATTTACACTGTTAGCATTTATACATGTTTCCAAACCTCCCACCCCCAATACCACTAAAAAAGTGTTATGTTAATCAAACTTTAAATATAAACTAGATTAAACGCATTTTCGATGTAAGATAGCATTGTATAAAATATCGCGTACCTCCATTATCGACGCATTATAGGCTGCATTATTAATTATTATTGTAACAACGTATAGACTACATTTATAGCATCCACCGAAAGCTAAAAGATAATATTTTAAAAATTACTCCCAATTCTCTTCCTCTTTTTATTCTACTTAAAACGTTTTTTGTTTGTCCGCCGGTCGTTATGGCCGACTCTTGCGGGTGAAAAAAAGTAAAAACACAACTATAATAAAATACACCGCAGACGATCCTCCGTCTACCTAAACACACATTAAGAGTTCGCTGAATTCCTGTATATTCAGCGGGTATTCTCTATTCTACTTGGTGAAATGTCATTTTAACTCGGGCAGGTGTGTCGCTACGGTCACTGTAGGAATAGTAGGTATCATATTATCAGGTATATATAATACCTACCCGACGGCGTTACCTAATCCAAGGTGGACAGCGCCCTGCGAAATTCTGTGTACTCGCCAGTTATATTGGCGACTGTTTGGGCTGGTGTAACAAAATCAATTCTGCGCAGTCATACATACGATCGTATTGTAAAATTATTATGCGCCACTCGATCGTATTGCGGGTGACGAGCCAAAAAAATTATTCAAATCTAATAAGGGAGGAGTGCGAAAACGTTTACATTATTATTAATGTATAGTAGTTACCGTTTTAAATATTAAAATATTATTATTCTAACGATGACAGTAATCGATCGGAATTCGAACTTTTTTCGTAGTTTTGAATCGACTGCGCATAATAAAACCTTGTTTACCGTCAGTATTGTGGTATTTAAAGATGATTCGGAAATTCGTTTAGGCATTATAATTATTATATAACGACGCGTTTAGAGTATATATGGAAATTGTTCGATTTCGAGTGCGCGTAGGACCACTTGGGTAGATGATAATACATATTAGTAAGGACTAGGTATATAATAGCATAGTGTTGCTATACGTCGCCGGTTGTAGGCTCTCGCGAGGAGTCATGGCAACCGGTTTTCGAAACCCCAGTATATATACTGTACACACACACTATAGGTATACACACGCGGGCTCGTATACGTCCGGCCACCACCAAACCGACCCGAGGCAAATACTTTCTACTACACAACCCGAACAAAAGGTATTTCCGAATTTCCTTACGCGCCGTGGTCTTAAACGTATCTTACACGGCCTTTGTATCAAAGAAAAGTCAGTAGTACCTACCGACATACCGAACTGGACGAAAGAGGAGAGTATTTAGAAAATGAAATGTACAACATAAAAAACAAGGTTTTCTCGAAAAAAAAAATTATTTGATCTTGAGTAACTCGGCATTATCTTTTCAAATCAATAGGTACATCAAAATGTTTTATTTTCGACGGACCTAACCGAACGGCGAACAGTGTAAAATACATTTTTATCTTTCTGTTTCTGAAATCGGACTGACTCGAGTCAAACGCATGTTCTTTGTCGCAGTACCTTCAAAGGCACATCGAAGCAATTGAAGATCCACCCGAAATGGAATATTTGTTTGACGGGTATTCCAAAATATACAAATGCCGTTCTATTTTTAAGCTTTAGCATTTTTAATTTGATTTCGAAAATCGTTGAATAGGGTTTTAGCCGTTCGCGTTCTTTGGCGAGCACATGTGGTCGATGAATTAATCCTCTTGACAACACTGTATAGGCTACATTTCCCTCTTGTCTGCCTATGAGTTGTTGGCAGACAGTCATAACTAGACGAGTTATTTTGGAACACTGCGTTTTACAGTACAGTAATATTGTGGAATCGTTTCTAGAACCGAAAACTCGAAAAAAGCATAGTGAGTACACACAACTCAGTTGGGTGCACACGTTTCACTTGCCGGCGTCAGGGCCGTGGTTCAAAACGGATTCGCATATTTATTTCAATTTTGTACGTCCTTGTTGACCATAGCCTTCGAGAAGATACTGTGCGACAGTCGAGTCGAGGGACGGAAACACGTGTGGCTTGTGATACATTCACAGTTAAAATACCACCCACCTACCCATAAAACAGTATAATAAACATAATTTCAACAACAAACCGTATTACAGAATTAATAGTACCCATTTACAAATTTTATCATTATTATCGCTGTTATACATCCTCCATCTGTATCTTATCTGCTGGCGCAAATAGAAACGCTTGGAGAGGTGTAGACCATTCAAGCCCCTTAAAAAAAAACCTACAACCACAAACTAGTGTAACCTCTAGTTTTTTTGCTAATACTATAAAGGAGAGGTTAAACCCCCAGGTCTAGTTATGTATTTAAGCGCTTAATAGTTACGATTTTGTCAAAACAACATATTTAAATGAGTAGATAACAATAAGTCTGAAAACGTATGGAAGCTTCTTACTCCCTCTCTCTTTCTTCTCTCTCTCTCTCTTTAATCTGCAGTAATAACTACCCAGGTCTTTGTAACGTGTCGCATACATGGTGGCCGTATATCACAATAATATCGCAGTTGTCACTTCGAGGTGTGCCAATGGATTTTCGCAATTTCCACATAGGAACTGCATAACATTATCAACTTCGACGAAACCGTATAAACAAATACCGTTGTTCGCGACACCGAAGAGAGATATGCTGACGGTCTGGTCACATGGTTTGTTATTATAATTATATGCTATGGAAATATATGGAAATGGACGGACCAGATAAGGATTCAACAATGGTCGCGAGCATTGCTCTCTCTAGCATTGTATGCAAAGTCTCAAAGAACTTTGTACGCGATGCCATTTATCAAATAGCGAATTCTTTCACTTGTTAAACGATCGACTTGTCTTGATCGGACAAAGTGGCTGCACAGCACAGTTGACGACAAATCGCACACCGATGTTAAAAACAATAATTGTTAAAATCTTCCAATGTTCGTCAATATTGTACTATCGACGAATTGAAGGTCAAACGATATTATGTAGTGAACTGGAACGGTAAATTAAAAACCAAAACCTAATTTAGTATTATCCAAAAACTTGAATATCATTGAATAGGTACAATATGAATGTACACGTTGTTATTTTAAGACTCGTAATAGTAGCAACACTGCTCAGTCGATTTCGTATGATTCATTTAAATCGTTTTTGACCGGGTTTTGTACGAGCGAGCAAGGATAACGCGATTCACCTAGTCATTCGGCCTGCCAAACACGGTGCACATTGGCGCGTGCAAAACAAGTGTAAAATAAAAATAATAGCAACCTAAGATCTCGGTGTTTTGGGTTACATCGTATGCACGTGGGAATAATAAAATTATTATTTTAATATTCTAAGCATAACACGCTGAATAGTTCATTTAAAATTATGTGTAGCGAGCGGACCGACGGTCAGGGTGTCGTCACGCCACGTCCCTGCGTTCTCCTATAACCGACACGGGAGGAAAAAAATGTTCACTTGTAAAAATCACGCATATACGCGTCGGGTCACTGTGCACAAGGACTAAGGCAACAATAATTCCAGCCTAGTATTGACTTTAAAAAAAAGGCATTTTTATAAATATATATGGAACAAATCGACGATAAAACACGAGCGTGTGGAGCATATATTATGTCATGCAGTTTTGGGAGCAAGTCTCGTGTGCCCGTGTCATTTGTGTTTCGTTATCCGGTCCGGTAACTAAAATTCCGTTTTTCCGACAATTAAAAACAACGAAACGATGGTTTTTTTGGTGGAAAGATTTGTTTCAATGATATTTCTATAATATGAATGTAAACGGAATATTTTGTTTTTAGGCCAACCACGCGCCAGTCACGATTTTTGACCGTGTACCTACTGTGTATATTATCATGACCGCGAGAAGAGTGAAATTAAGTGCGATTCGCGCCACCGAACCAGGTTAAAAATACTAAAACAACATTATTATGCGTTGTGAAATTAATTGCAAGTTTTAAACACACGCGACCGCGTCAAGACGACAATTACAACTTCCAAAAATAAAATAATTGTTGTAGTGTTGACTATAAAATAGTGCTCGTGTGAAATACATTAAAAACAAAATCCTAGTGTAACCCGGGTATAATTGACAGTGGTTTTTTTTTATAGGAAATTTTGTTGAATAATAAGCGAACACCAATACTGCACACACCAACGATTTCCACAAGGGTGTTAAAGTGAAGACAAATTTGCCTAACGATACTGTGAGTGGCAAGCGGAATATTTTTTTTTCACACACACACAACACGTTAGTTTGAAAACATTTTCATTAATATAATAATAACAATCATGGATAGATATCGTTAGATAATTAGTAGATTTAATAAGCGGCGGTTCAATAATAATAGAACCTTCCGTTTGTTCACTTCGATGAGTATTAAATAGGGCATAACTTTTGTTTTGCGCTTAGGGACCCTGAAAAATCATTGGTAATATAAAAATCTATTATGGTAATGGGGCCTTAAAAATTAATTCAAACCGGGGTCTACAAAATGATAGTTGCGGCACGGTTCGGGGAAGTTTTTCTAATAACTGTTAACAATATTAAAACATTTAAAAACACTTACCGTCAGATCGCTGACTTGCCGCTGAGCGTTTAATCGGCGCACATTTTTCGGTACGTTAATCTATATTAAAAACGAATTAGAAACAGAAAGAAAAAAAAAAATTCGAAAAATGTTTATTCTTTATTTGTATGTATTTTTTTTTTTTAATTTAAACCCGCGTTCGACACTGGCCGGATGGTAAAGAACTGGCACACCGGTTTTCGGTCCGTTGGCGCACTACCCGTGGACTCGCGTTGTGACGGTGTGTCGGCGACTGACGGTGGCAACTGGCAACGGCGGCAGTGGCGAGCCGTCGGGAACAACGAGGACGCCGGCCATGTGTTAAAATATATGGCTTGGCCGTCGCAGTCGTCCTCGGTCGCTGCAGTCGTTATCTATGCGACGGCCGTCTTGTGCACCGGCCGCAATACACTGCACGCACCGCAACCGTCGCGCACAACCCCTTTCAACTCGCCGGTGCCATTGTGTATTGTATAATGCGGGACGCAACGACAAAATACATAATATTAAGTCCATCGATTACACGACTTTCTTTAAACAATCGAAACGCCCTGTACCCGTCTAGTTTCTTCGACGGCAATCCTGCTCGGTCATATTGTTTGTACATGAAAATAAAATAATAATAATAATAACAGGTATTATACAATTAATCTCCAAAGGTCAGACGGGGCGTATGCGGTCGGGAGGGTGTGCTATGGAGACTTGAATTCTCCAAAATCGTTTTTGTACCGGCCGCCTGTACGCGCATCCCAAGGTTCAACAATTGAGTATTTGTCTTCTTCTAATGTACGAAAACCTAAATAATTAGAACGAAAATGATTCCTGAATTTTAGATGGTTCGAATGATGTTTAGAGGTATGGTCTCTCCAACCCTCATTTTAACATGAATATGTTATATGGCTGGGAGTCAGGTACTAAAAATTGCCCGAAACGTAACGCTGAACGTCACACTCGGTGGCTGCGGAGATTAGAGATAAGAGATTAAAATAGAGATAATGTATTAAAGATAATGGATGAGGGATACTAGATTAGAGGTATAAGAGATAATGTAAAGATAATACATTAGAGATAAAGACATGGGGATGGGGATGGAGAAGGATATGAGGATATATAAAGATAAAATGTTTTAAGGATATAGAAGATTAAGATATATATATATAAGGATAGTCAAATGAATTTGATAGGTAGGCACTTAATTTATGGTGAACCACGGAATATGATTTATGAGAAATGTTAAATATTGATAAATGTTGCCAGTAAATCGATTAAGGCCAGGTATTATAAAATTACTAAAAAACGTTTGGCCAGAACATATAATTAAGACTATACTATCATCATAAATCGCAAGGAGATTATAAATCGGAAATAATCGTATAATTATCAGGACATAAACATGTATTGATCACTTCTAACAGACAACAATCGAATGATATTTCAAATGTTATGGTATTTAAAAATGCTGATACCAGTGTCATAAAACTTAAACATAATTTAGCGGTATTGGAAAATTTGGTATTTACCTAAGCAAATACTGTAAAATTAGTAATTTTTTGAATAATTTATAAGTAGATATATATTACCTAAAAACTAAAATACCAGTTACTTGTTATTTATTACCGCATACGCACTAGTTTATTATGATTCGATTTATTATACCGGTGATATATTATTATGATGACTATCACCAACCGATAAGTAACGTGAGTACCGAAAAAACGGTTTATGGGTGTTAACAAAAATCAGTAATTTTCAATGTTGGTAATATGAAATATTGGTATTGTTTCGGTATACCAATACTGACCATCAGTCTTAGAAAGTAAGCTAAGAAGAAAATCGTAAAAGAGCGTGTGATCAATTTTATATATAACTTATATTTTAAAACAAGAAAATAATAATATTTCTTCTTATACTTATAGTACATATTATAAATAATCTCAGGACTCCATGAACAGCTCAAAATACAAAAGCGTGGTTGGTATAAAATGGCGCTGGGTTGGTCCAAACTTGTTACCATATTTGGCGTGACATCGGCGGAATGAGTGTTTATACTATTTTAATTTAATAAAATATTATATTATTAAAAAATACATTTTTTTATAACTATAATATGTGTAGTTTATTAGTTTTCGGGCTATAAGTATACTGAATGGTCTCTCTCTTATTTATACCATTGTTAACCTAGTTAACATGATTTGTTTTTAGATTATATGTAACTCAATTATTTAGATTATCTTTATTCAATATATAACACTCAATACCTTTTATATTTTAGAGTCTGGTACAGTCCGATTGGCAATCTGAGGTTTCTGCATAGATTTCCAACGAGTTAACTTTCTCAAACTTATTGAACACCGTGTAATATATTACTCGTGTTCACTTGTCTTGTTCAAAACTAATTACAAGATATCATTTTAAATTCAGAAATAGACTATAGTAGACTTTTTTTTATTTATTATATTTTAATTGTTTCAACATAATCTTGTTTTTACAATATATTAATTAATAAGTTACATAATTAGGTAGGCATAATAGAGTAATAAAATTATTTATAAATTATTTTAGTTTAGCAAATTGTACATAAATTATGAGTTGTTTTAATTAGGTCATTAATCTGATGATACCGATGATGAAGATGACGATGATGATTCTGGAGGTAGTAAGATATCTTGTGGGAGACGTGGCTTTAGTCAACGGTTTTAAGGCTCCTTCTATTGTGTTTAGTTTCGAATGAAATTTTTTAAATTGTTCATTTAAATTGTTCATTTTATTGTTTATTTATCCATGTGGTTAGGTATGGTATTCCAGTGTCGTTGTGGAGTTGTGTGTTTCGCATATACCATGGGGCTTTAAGAGCTATTCTGAGAAATTTGTTTTGTATCGTTTGTAGTTTTGTAATTTTCGTTTGGGATGCGGCTGCCCATATATGGCATGCATATGTTATTAAAGGTCTTATTATTGAAGTGTATATTAGAAGTGAGCATTTGATCTGAGTGGAGAGCTGTAATTAATTAGGGGGTATAAGATTTTCAATCGTGTGTAGGCTTAGTTTAATTGTTTTATTTATGTGCATTTTTCATGTTAATTTTTCATTAAGTTAAACTCCAAGATATTTAATTGATTGATCTTTATTATTCCATAATATAGGCTGATTTTTGATTTTTAATTGAGGTGGATTTATATATCTCTTTAAGGTAAATATTTTCGCTTCGCTCTTAGTTGGGTTAAGAGCGAGTGTCCATTTTGTAAACCAGTCTGAAATTTGGTCTAAAGAAATTTGTAGATCTGATATTGAGTTTTCAAGATTTTTATGTTGTGTTATGATAACAGTATCGTCTGCGTACATGGCTAATTGGCATTTTTGTGGAACTGGGATATCATAGCAATAAATATTAAATAAGGTGGGGCATAGTAGACTTAACTGACGTTTTAACCTACTTTGTTGTTTTTAGTAATGTATTCGAGTTGACTATGAAATATATTTATCGGAGATTGAGTAAACTGTCATAAAGTTGTATCTTGATCTATTAATTTTAAATTCGTTAACGCATAACTTCGTGCACTCGTATTCGTCTGCAATACTTGAAAACAGGAATTGTACCTATTTTCGGTATACACGCGGAAAGACATTAGAATAAAACCGGTAATTATTATTAAACTTATGCAACAGGGTAATGTGATGTCTAAATAACATAATATGTAGCTCCTGGCTATAAGTATTGCAGTCAAAATGAGTATCAAAACAACTAAGCAAACTAGTACATCTTTTGCCTGGCAAGGTTAATTCTAGGCCGCGGATTATAAACAATTGAAAACGCAGTGTCTAACGCAATTTTCTCGCATATCAAAATATGAAATTGTGAATATTGAATAAACGTAATGTATTATGATTTTTTTCAAACTCTTGCATTCGATTTTTACTTACAGTTTCAATCCACACCATGCAGTCTTTATATGATTTCGTAATAAAAAAACACCATAGAATAGGTTAGCTAAAGCCTAAAACTATAATTTTCTAAGACAAATCAAGCAAGTTTAAAAACTTAAATTTTTATCTAAATCAAACAAAAACTGAAGCTATGTAAATTAATATTTTTTAAATGTATTTCGTATTTCCTCCGTCTGTTTTTATTGAGGATGTATGTTTTTTTTAAAAATAATAATTATTTATTTTATTTTTATTCATAATTTATAGCAACGCTAACAAGAATACAAATACCATTAGTTACCACAATTCTCGACGTGTTTCATGTAAAACGTTGAGTAAAATGTTTCCCTTAAATTACGTTCATTAATTATTTTAATGATATTTTTTTTGTGTACGTTTTCTTATATACTATGTGTTATACCTATTACCTATGATGTTTTTGTTATTTCGCTGTTCACTGTAGCGTTAAACAAACAATAAAAAAACGTAGTTCCTCATTTTTGTTTTGCAGAGGTCTTAGACCTCTAATACGAGTCCTGGAAAAATGGAATATCACATGACAATATAATATATTCGTTAATCTAGTCTTAGGTATCAAATAACATACCCACTTGCTATTTGGTTGGTTTATTTTTAATTATTCTCAACATGCGCAAACAAAATAATAACTTTAATTACCAAGTGACAAACTATATTTACAGCACAAACACGTATAAATAAAATAAAAAACTTGAGGATGTTTTTTGCTGTTATTAAGAACACGTCTTTGTCATGCGTGTGAAGTTCCATTATTATTTAACTTAGTGAATCGAGAAAAATTGCGTTCTTCGCTTATTAGTGCATAGATCATTGACTTGGGTCTGCAATCTTTACCTCAGTGCGCCATAATTTATAATATACGGAAGTAGCCATAACCATCAACCATTGGCGAATATATTTATAGAAAATTAAAAAACACACGTAATTTCTTGTGTACAACGCTTGAACTCACTTCACTCGGAATAAAAATATAAAAATAGTTTTATGTGTTTGCATTAAAAACGTTAAATATGAAACCTATAAAGCGCATGTGGCAGTCCATGGATAAAAGCGAAGTTATGAATTATAGTAAAACTGTGGAGTAATGGCTATAATTATTATTGGACTTACGCATAGATTTTGTTAAACAAAGCTTATTTCAACAAAGCGTTTTTATGTTTTCTGACTTGAGTGTTAATGAAAATTAATAGTTTTTTTGCTAGTTAGGCCCTTTTAGTTGAAATTATAATAATATGCGCATTGGAAATATTATTATACATAAACTTTTTTATTTAATTCCTCAAAACAAAAGTTAGTTTTCTAGATGATTACGGTAG